GCATAACACAAAAACCTAACCAGAAAGCGCCATCGCAATTCTTCCCGACACACAGTGTAATGTATAGAGCAGTCGGTAGTTATTTTTTCAGACACATCAGTTGACCCTAGGTAATCTTGTTATATTTTTGTTCATGGAAAGTTACCTACTACTTACAAGTGAGTAGTATCTCACAACACTCTTCCTCCCGGCGAAAATGAGCTCTGCATGCAGCGGGCAATGAATTTTTTTTTGAGAGTTCAAACGGGTTCGTATTTCGTTGACAGTTTCTTGCAGATTCATGATTGATTTCTGGGGACACGACCAGTCGTTTGATTTCTGACAACCTTTTGGGGCACGGCTTCGATCCCGGTGCCATCCATCGTGTTCACTTCGATACACGCCTTTGTCATCGCTTATCTCCTGCAACACGTTCATTGGGATTTTCTTTATCCGGATTCTACATGAATTTCGCCATCTAGGATGTAGCCTCGCTGCTTCAGGGTCACAGATACGGACTCCGAAATCGTACTTGAACGCTGCTTCGGGTGCTTTCAGAAGTGCATTTGGCTTCCATTTCACTGGCATTCTTAACTTGCTTATCTTTTTGCTCTGCAATCTGGTCAAAGTTTGGTTGTCTTTTGTGTTCTCGATAGAGAAAGTTGGATTTGCTCTGCTATCAGCCTGCGGCTCGCGTTCGTCAACCATCTTCGAAACCATTCGAAACTTCTACTAACTCAGTTAACTGAGGTTCCGCCATATACGCAGCAGCGCATGTGTCAAACAAACATGGCGCTTTCTGTTCTCCCATTTCCATATGGGTCTGGATTGAACAATGATCATTCGTTCCCCAGGGAGCCTTGTCCGAAGACAAAGTTTTGAACGAAATCAGGGGTTCTCTGAGGAACGACTTGCGCTGTATTTCGGTACAATTTTTCGGCCAGCACTTTGGATCTTCGAGCTCAAAATTCCCGCTCCTGGGAGCTCTCTGGTCGTAATTGGTTCGAATCGCTGCAAACTCCGTTAGTTTTTTGAGAGCTGCCGTACTTCTTTTAGGCTGGCGCTCAGGATCTTCGGTTGGCTGGACATAAGTGAATTTCTTCCAGGTGAATTCCCTTAGGACATCCGCCAGTTTGAATGCATCCATGGTTTTCTCAGCATTAACTATCCACGCCTTCTGCCGCAAGTCCTCTGGCAGGCTCTCCATGAAGCGATCAAACAATTAATCCGAATTCGCGGCATCATCCAACGTTGAGAGCCCCCGATTCAACAGAGCGTTCAGGGCCACGGCATGCGACAAGGGGTCCACGCTAACTCCGAGCTGTACCGTCCTGAAGCTCCGCGATGCCCGCTGGCGGTCGGCAGAGGTGTCAAAAGTGGCGATCAGGGTGTCCTTCGCGGCGGCCCATTTCATCTTCTCCGGGCCTCTTCACGCCGCATCCAACACGGCCCGCGGCCGGCCTTGGGAAACATTCGGAGGGCCGTCGATTTACCCCGGTCCGACCGTATTCCCGCCAGCTCCGCGACGTCCTCGAACTCCACCAAGTGTTTTGAAACACCCAAAAATACTCACGACGCGCGTCGGGCAATCCCGGCAGACCACGAGTACAACGAACAGCGCCTCTCCTTGAAGCGTAAACTCACAAAGAGTTTGAGAGACGACAGAGGCCTGGTGGACGCTACGTGCAAAGGAGATGGAATCAGCGGCTAGGTGTGGAAACACCCGGCAACTATTCCCGCTCATCCGTGCCACAGGCCCCAAAAGACAGTGCGTTAGTGAAACAATCTGCGAAGCAGATGGCACGCTAATAAACAGCCTCCACCGACGATTGGAACGCTGGGCGGAGCACTTCACATCGCAGTTCAACCAGCCCTCCCCGCGCTGGCCGCCCCAAGCAGCTCTCTTGAAAGTGCACCCTGGCCACTACCCACGGGACCGCCCACAGAGGCGGAGATCCGAAAGAAACTCCAAGCCCTGAAACGCCACAAGGCAGCTGGATCAGACGGCCTGTTACCTGCTCTCGTAAGAAAACTTGTGAGACTGTTCTCGAATATCTGGGAAACTGAAAGTGTACCTCACATATGGGGAGAATCGATTGTCACACCCATCTACAAGAAGGGCTGTCGCAACACCTGTTCCAACCACAGGGGCATAAGTCTGATTCCAATAGCGCCGAAGCTGCTAGCGTCCGTTTTATCACGCAGGTTATGCCCATTCCGTGGGGAGCAGGCCAGGTTTCGTGCACGCCGTGGATGCATAGATCAAATCGTCACCCTCCATCAACTACTAGAACACCTCCACACATACAGACGACAAACCATTGTCGTAATTTTAGACATCAGAGCGGCTTTCAACTCTATCGATCGCCCCGCACTAAGGAACTATTTGCGGAGATACGGAGTACCTGAGAAGTATGTCTCACCCCTAAAGCGCTCTATCACCATACCTCGGGGAAGGTTAGGGCCTATGGTGAATTTTCACCCTATTTCCTGTCACCAGTGGGGTACGACAGGGTTGCCATATCTCTCCGTTTCTCTTCAACTATGACATAGATGATGTCCTACAAAACGCGTTACATAACGCAGCGAACGCTGGCGTCGAGCTTCTTCCTGGGGACAGAGTCGTAGACTTAGAGCACGCTGATGATATTGCCTTACTGGGTGACAACGCACCAACGATTCAAGAGTCGTTGAACCGTTTAGCAATTGAGGTTACTCGTTATGTCATTTGCACCTTCGAAGTGCAAAGTGTTGTTGCAAGACTGGCAGGAACCCATCCCTGCACTTTCTGGAAGTAGTCGAAAGCTTTGTCTACCCTGGGGATCGCATAACAGCTGGCGGTGTGGGCGAGGGGATCTCTCAACGCGTGACCAAAGCTAGATTAGCGTTTGCTAATCTGCGGCATCTCTGGGGCCGGCGCGATATAACCCTCTCACTGAAAGGGCTTGTGTATTGCGCAACGGTACGCACCGTGTTGCTCTGTGGCTGCGAGACCTGGCCTCTCCGAGCAGATCACGTCCAGCAGCTATCAGTCTTCGACAACCGCTGTCTGCGCCCGCGTATGGTGGGAACACCGCGTGAATAACGATGAAGTCAGACGACGGGTGCTGGGACCAGATAGTCCTCTGGGCAAAATAATTTCACAGCATCGTCTTAGGTGGCTAGGGCACGTCCTACGAATGCCTTAGCACCGTCTGCCATACCGTGCACTACTCGCGACGTCGGTCCAGGCTGGAAGCAACGAGGTGGGCAGGCTATGACGCGGCGCAGAGGGTTAAAGAGATTGTGCTCGGATCTGGCTTCCGTTGGGGTTTCTCGGCACCCCGGCTGGGGCCCCAAAGATTCGGATCGTCTTTGGCTGGAGATACTGCGGGATATGGCATCGAACCGAAGTCGATGGCGTGAATGCATCACCTCCTGTCCACAATCCCAAAAATAAACAAAAACGAAAAAAACTCAAAATGGCGTGCAGTAAACAAACAAAAAACGGTTACTCGAAGTTGACTGTTTCATTTTCCCCGTTTTTGTAACTATATTTTTTCGTTCACTCATGGTTATTTTTGGCGCCGTATATGTAAAGATTAGTGTTTATATATAGCCGGTTCAACCCTAACAGACGCGCGAACAGATGTCATTAACACCAACTAAACCGCAGTAAAAAAAATTCAGTTTCACAAGGATGTTCCGAGCAATTAATCAGAAACATCACCTTGCGATTGGACGACATAAATAGAAATCATTATTATACAAGCATTCGGTCGATGGAGTAAATCGATTTAGCTGAAGAACACGGAGATTGTAGAAAATGCACGATCCCGCCGCGACAGATATTTTGTATCCGGATTCTCCACCACTGGATTCGCCAACAGAGTTGAGAGTATAAACGTAGTCCAAGAACCAATAACGAAACTAACCACACATTACGGAATCGTTGAGACTCAAGAGACTGTTGTCGTAATTTTCATCTCAATCGCACACGTACTGTACTGATCTTTACCTCAGGCATGTTTCCCAAATCTAACCCCGGCTGACCCTCACATTGTGTTACTAACAATATGGTCAGACGGAAATTTGCTAATCACGGTTACGCTGAAGATCTTTTCCAGCCTGTTCGGAAACTGAATGCCAAGCTCAATGAAGAAATCCCAAAACCACCACTAACAAGAACAACAACTATTGCCTAAGCTACGGGCACTTGCCAATTGAAACTTTCAAGGATATCTACCCAATCTCAGAACACAAAAGCCCAAATGAAAAGTATTGTGAAAAATCGAGTACTTGATTACAGCTCATCCACACCAGATCATATGTGACTCAGTTTTATTGATTTGCATGCATCTTGTATTCACCTTGTCAATCGATTTAGCTGAGTTACAATCTACTGGTTCTCGTGCACTGACGTGTCATTCCTGAACGTGGATGAGGGGTATAAGGCAGACAGAATCAGCACATTTCCGGTTCTCATGTCTCGTCGGCGGCAAAAAATGAAACCCTCGGGAAGGAGTTAGTTCGGTTAAAAAAATACAAATTATTCATTCGTCTTGTGTGATTCAATAGGGAACATTTACACACGAATGTGGACTGGATGGAATCGGATCGTTGGAGCACAATGCTGCTTGACCAAAACGTTTTTGATAAAACAACATAATCAAATGCATCACTGTCACAGAGAGAGAGAGAGGCAGAGGTTGTGTGGTTTCGGGTGTGTACACAGGAATGGAAGACCGTCGTTTTAGTGGCAGGAGATGGGCTGGGAAAGTTGCCGAAGAGAGGCAGATAATTTGGACTACATTTCGACAGGGCTAGGAAGTTCAGTTCAGCTTAGTTCGTACCACCATTTACCAAGAGCCGGTTTTGGTTGCTGTCTTTCGGCTGTTCATTTAGATGAACGTTAGAAGAAAGACAGGAAAGGTCGAAAGTGGGGTCAAAGATAAAATTTAGAATTTCAGTGGACTAATGTTGTAAAGAAAACCAATGACTGTGCTGTTTTGCTCCTACACAAATCGGGATGCATGCGGGCATCAGGATGATCCACTTTCCGTTGTGGACTGATCCAAATCATACTCCACGTGTTCCCAATTCGGCCCGGACGCGATGACCCTATGCGGTGGCAAGTCTGACTGATCCGTGGGGCCGCGTAACGGAATGAAACGTAACTCTTCCACATGATGCACGCGTAAACTCATACGATGTCCGACCGTGACCGGGGTTATGTTTCGCGCTTTCAGACTTTTGTAGGCACGAATTTCCGAACGTTCGTTCAACTGACTGGTCGATTCATCCAAGAACACCATATGTGGACGACGAAAACAGACCGCAGCCAGGAGGAGTCGTTGAACCTCACCAGGGGAATATGAATTACGCCTGTGATGATGGGAGCGAAAACGACCACGATTATGCGTACGATATTACGATGATAAAACAGTTGTGAAATTGAACAGTTCATCAATATGTAGAAATGTCACTTCACTGAAGCAAGTCACCGAAAGATTGTGTTAAGGAAAGCGTCTGCGTTCGCGCTTCATTGGCACTTTGGTTGGCAGTACTGCTGCACTCCGTTCTTATTCGTTTTTTTCATGATTACGTTATCGGATTGGAAACGAACAGCATTACGCGGAAACTGGATGTGTGATTGGCTTAAATTGATCACACATCACAATCAGTCACGAATAACGAGGTTAACTTGAAAATTGTCATCTATACTGATTAAGCGCTCATTTGTGTCCCAAATGCTCGCCCAAAACAGCTAGCATATTATTGAGCCCCTTGGTGGTTCCAAGCTATTCGATTCCGATTCCCCTTCCGTCAAAAACCAGAACCAGTCGACTTGGGCTTGAGGTATGCCGAATCAGATTTTCCGGTTGGGTCATCAACCCAAAACAATGATCAAGAAAGAAAACACGAATTAGACAGTATTGTAAACGGTGGCACTCACGTATCAGTTTATAATTCATGCATTTTTACGTTTCGGACACTGTTTCTTTATCTTAGTGAAACTATCTCTGATTTTGTTCATTCGATGGGTTATTTTTATTACACACTTTCCATGTGATGAACAACAGACGGGGAAAGCCCCGTAGTCACGAGGACCTTCTGTTCAGTGATGATAATCGATGACTTTATCCCAGGACTTGGAGTGACGAACAACATAAGGCCAAAATAGGTTAGATGTGGTATTGGACCGGACGACAACAAAGCTGCCTACTACCAAAGTCGGGTGGCGGTGCCGGGGTTGACACG